TCATCCACTACTGCCGGATGAAGAATGAGGCGTTTTAGTGCTTTTTGCCTCCGCATTTCACTGTATAGTGTAGAAATGGTCCATAAAGATGCAGCTTACATAGCAGCCGACTGCATATGGGGTCTTACAAGACTCCAAGGAAAGCCATTAGAGGAGGCGCTAGCATGAGGATTTTCCAATATAGGAAGCTGTGAAATGTATGCTAATGCTGGCAGACTTGATGTTGCATCCTGGGATGCTTTTTGAAGGAGTATTGACAGGGTTGTCAGGTATGCCAGGCTGCTTTATGACATAAAAACCCAAACATCAATATCCAAACATCTTAATATCTATGCAGTTGCTCTGGAATGGCTTTAAAAGGTTGATTTTTCACTCAAAGGAACCATATTTTGGACCAAACTTTCAATGCAGCCAAGAAGATTTGAAATATTGACACAGATAGCTCAAAATTACTCATCCACGCAACAGAATAAAGATGCACCAATCTTAAAATCCTGACCAATACCAACAAGCACATCATTACTGATTTTGAGCATTCAGAGATGATAGGGGAAATGAGAAAACACTTTTTTAAATATCCAACTTAACTAACTAATATTGACTGATAAGATACAGACAAAAAATTCTAATACGGGGCAATATATATGTGATATCATACTTTGCTAGAAAAGAACCACTTTAAAGACAATCTGTGCTTGTAAAAAGCTTTTTGGAACATTGGAAGCACAATAAAATATGATATTTACCACAAAGAATTAATGGCATCTTATCTGCAACCTATTGACAGCATTTTATTTTTCAAATATAATTATGCATCACTGCTGTCAGATCACCAAGTAGCACGAGCTTTCTACTGTAGTATATATTCACAGATGAATAGAAAGTTCAAAAGAACGGCATTTATTTGATATGGAAATATTTTGTAACATTATAAATGTCTCCATTTTGATCAATTTAACGCATCCTTGATGAATAAAAGTTTTGTTTTGTTTTTTAAGTAAGTATTTTTTAACTAAAGCTAAAAGCTTTTTCAGCTTGATTCTTTCCTTGGGGTCACAATTTGGATTACAGATCTGCATCTTTAAACACTGATGTAATTAAGTCTTCACTAATGGGTTCAATATTAAAACTTAATTTCCCTCAATCTGCATTCATTTGTTGCACATTATCCTTACAAATTAATGAATTAAAGAGAACAACAACAAAGATACCAGTAAGCTCAAGTTACTGTTGTTATTGACATGTGATTAGTGATAGGCCGAGAGATTAGTTTAAAGGAATATTATTCAGCAATGCATTCGTCGTACACACAACACACACGTCTGTGATGGGTTATGATTCTCAACCGCTGCACAAAGACTTCAGAAAACTTTGGACTGACAGGACAAGAGTGGACAGAAGATAAATGCTGTTAATTAACAATTAGTTAAGATGTTAACATAACATCAAATTAATAGATGCTTCACTGCCAGGTACTATAAACAAGGATGGTAATCATAAGGAATTCTTTAATGCTTCCATTAATGATTCTTTTACTACCTTTGTTGAAAAAACATTTTGTTTGAAGAAATGCAATTACTTTTGCACATAATACCATTAGCAGCCCATTACCAGAAGATTAAGTATTATAAACAAACACACACACTCTCTCTCTCTCACACACACACTCACTCACTCACTCACTCTCACACACACGCACACACTCACTCTCACACGCACACACACACTCACTCTCACACGCACGCACACACGCACACACACACTCACGCACACACTCACTCACACACTCACGCACGCACTCACTCACTCACTCACTCACGCACACACTCACTCACTCACTCACGCACTCAC